CTTGCCCTGTAAGAATGCAGTAGGTCTGGGGGATTAAAGTCCCCTGCTTCTGACTTAGTTGTACTTGGGGAATACAGACCCCTGGACTTCATAATGGGGCTACTGGAGAAGGTGTTTTAAAAACAAACACAGTGGGGAGGTCAGAGCAGAAGCAAACCTACCCAGAGATCTGTTCATCTTCATGGTGGGGGGCGGGGAATGTTGAATGCAACTTCTCAAATCCAGATGGGTGGTGTCTGAGGAAGCTGCTTGATGGTGACTGTCTCTGTTCTTCCAACAGTCGAACAAAGTGCCGGTTGTGCAGCATCCCCACCATGTGCACCCCCTCACGCCTCTTATCACGTACAGCAATGAACACTTCACCCCAGGAAACCCACCTCCACACTTACCAGCCGATGTTGACCCCAAAACAGGTAGGCCTGGGGCAGTGATGGGCTGGGCTCCCCTTCCTCTCTTGGGTTTTGAGAAGGCCCTTGGAGGATGTCAGAGCCTAGGGAATGAGTGCCTTCACTCCATCTTGAAAAGGTCTACCTGCAATGCTGAAGATGTGCTTAGCCCACAGTACCCCTGACAGGGGCCTAAATCACTCAGGGTTTCCCAAGAGAGGCTCATAACTCCAGAATGTAATCATTCTAGAGGCTTCGCCGGGCTCCCTGTTTCCCTTGGCAGTGATGGGACACTAGTCAGCTGACAGAGGTGTGTTAGTGTTACCTCTAGAACTGGGTTCTGTGTTCTCTTTACTGATGTATATGGGTTCTCCTTCCCCAGCCAGAGACTGGGTATTATTGAGCCCATTTTACAGATGTGAAAACTGAATCCCAGGGAGGATTCGCCATTTCATCATAGAACAGCCTGTAGGATCTTGGTCCAGAGTTGCCACTTTTCGTCTTTCCACCCACTTCTTTATTGACTTCTTTTTCATCAAAGTGGAGAGAGAGAGAGAGAGAGCCAAAATATGATATTACTTTTAGCACCCCCTACAGCCCTGGTAATGTAGTGGCTATGAATTGGGCTGCTATCCTCAAGGTCAGCAGTTCGAAACTACCAGCTGTTCCGCGAGAGAAATATGAGGCTTTCTGCTCCCGTAGAGATTTATAGCCTCGGAAACCCTGTACAGGGTCACTATGAGTCGGAACCTACTCCACGACACACAACAACAACAACCCTGGTAATATAGTGGTTATGAGTTGGGCTGCCAACCTCAAGGTCAGCAGTTCGAAATTACCAGCTTTTCTGTGGGAGAAAGAGGAGGATTTTGGCTCCTGTAAAGTCCTAAGCAGGGTCTCTGTGAGTTGGAACTGACTCCACGGCACATAACCACCACCGCCAAGCAAGATTTAGAGCAAGCTGACAGCCACAACTCACAGGAAGGGTGATCTTGGTTGGGAGAGTGGCTTTTCGGCGGAACAGAGCTCTGGCTAGGGGTTTCTGCTCCCAGCTAGTTAATTAGGGTGGATTTTAAATGGTGATTCGGTGACACTTTGTCAGAGGAAATCGCTGGGTTCAGGCTGAGGTAGGGTGTTATTTAGGGGCCTCGGCTGCCCCTGAATACAGCCACACATTAGCTGGTTTTCACCGACCTGGCCGCTACTGAGCACTCTTTGTGCTTGTGGGGACTCAGCCTTGCTCTAGGACAGCTGGGGGAAGCCCAGCTCTCTGAGTGAATGACAGCATCAACGTCTCATTTAAATAATGGTAGTACAGGGAATAGCTTTTAAATAGTTATCGTAAAACATATGATTAACGTCTGTAGACTGTTTACTTTTCCTCTGTGAACATTCTTTTAAGTGTGTAAATGGCTCGGTGTATGGTCCAAGTCCAGCTAATCTGTTTGGTTTTTGTAATAGAGAGAAAGCAATGCCTGCATGAAAAATGTTACCCAGGGAGACTTAATTTGCAGATTAAAAGCTTCCTGAATGAATTTTTTAAAAAATGAAGTCGTTTTCATCCACCAACGCGCCCCTCACTCCCTTCAATACTCCGCTTAAGCCCATGGTGTTCATTTTGCTTCCCACTTCAGCTCTCTTTCCGTCAGAATTGCCCCCAGACTCTTATTCTCTCAGACTGCAGGATGTGCTTCTGTGGACTTAGTATGTGGTGGCTTGGGCCTTCAGAATTCACTCATGTACCGCATGAAGATTCTCTGCCTTGGGAAGAAAAGCTGGGCTTAGTCAACAGATAGGATTAATTCACCCAGGTGAATTTGTCTTCTAGCAAACTAGATTATTGTAGAATCAAGCATAGCAAACATCCAACATCTCCTGGCCCTTTGGTTCTGATTCTAGCCTGAATAAGAAACCACTTGAATTGTGTCAATTTCTCTTACAATTCATCTTCAAAGCTGAGGAAAAGACTTTCCTAAGGCAGTTAAGCTTTTTTTTAAATTTCCCCTAAAAGAAGGCAAGTATAACCTTTCAAAAGACATAGGGCAACTCAGAAAGTATGTGGATAACCAGAGGACTAACTCTCAGGTAGGTCCATCATTCGAAGTTAAGAGGGTAAACTGATAAATCAAAAGGCATTCATTGATCACCTACTATGTGCTGAGCATTTGACTTACTAAAAATTCAAATAATCACAGTCTTCACTTTGGCAGACATGCTCAATATGACATTTTCTGAGTCTGGCCAGTGCTGTCTAGTGTATCAGTCCATCTAGTATGAGATGACTGGATGTGCTGTGGAGTTGGTTCCGACTCATAGCAACCCTACATTGGGTTTCTGAGGCTGTAAATCTTTACTAGAGCAGAAAGCCTCATCATTCTCCCACGGAATGGCTAGTAGTTTCGAACGGCTGACCTTGAGGTTAGCAACCCGACTCATAACCACTACACTACCAGAGCTCCCAGAGTGGGGAGGGGTGGGTAAGGCGAAAGTCCCAGGGAAGTCTATGATCATGATCTTGTGAAGAACCTTGTGTCGGACTTACAGAAGAAAGAACTCCCTCTAAACTTCCCCAATGGTTTCTCTTCCCTTCTCTTTCCCTGTTGTACCTAAAATGCTGCTGTTTCTTTTCAGGAATCCCACGACCTCCACACCCTCCAGATATATCTCCATATTACCCACTATCGCCTGGCACCGTAGGACAAATCCCCCATCCGCTAGGATGGTTAGTACCACAGTAAGCAGTTCCATTTTTTAATTTCCTTTTTGTTTTTACATGGGCATGCTTATTATTTATTCTGTGCATACATGTGTGTGCTTTGGGAGACAGGGCTGGGGGAAGGGGAGGACATTGATAGGGTGTGGGGAAGCTGCTTGTTAAGGTATCCTGTGGGTAAGCAGGCAAATCAGTAGTCAACAGATAGATTATGTAAGGGAAACAAACAAACTATACTTCTGCACCTATACTTAGCGGCTCTAGGTGTTCCACTCTAGACAAAGGTGCCCTTAAGGTGCTCTGGGAATTTCAGAAGGGTTTGAGGGTGTCAGTCCAGTGAAGTTGGTTGTAGTTGCTCTTTTGGCGTTTAGAACCCTTGCACCATTTCAGAGCCCCAGTTGGAGTCCTGCCTTTGAACAAGGCAGCTGAGTCATCTCTTTTAGGAATTGATGTAGGGGGCAGGAGAGCTAGAACAGAAGCCAACCTAGTTTGGAGATCCTGGGATGGAAAGGGGCTGTTCTCAGAATACCACAAGCTCCAGCCGCTTCCTGACCCATGCTCCTAAGGATGACAACAGTGAGAAGTTTTGTCTAAAGAGAAGCTCTGTGTTGTTTAAGTAGAATCTCTCTGAAGTTCTTTGCTCATTGAATGCTTTACTTAATTTGGAGGGAGGGGTGGGGTCAGGCCAGCTCCCACTCTCACTCCAAGACAACAACAACTTCCTGGTATCTCTGCCCCAGTGCCCAGCAAATTCAACTGCCTTTTCCAATTTGCCATTCTTTTACTCAGTCTTCCTTCTGAAGTAATTTCACCCACTAACTGTCATTATACAACTTTAGACACGTGTGTTTTACAGACAGAATAGAAAAGTCTTTAATGTATAAGTTGTAGTGTGTATGTCAATGAAATGTATTTTTGATTTTGTGTTTTTTGTATGAATTTCTTCATATCAATGATCTTTTATTCGCTAAGAAAAGCACAGAACGATTTGTTGAATCCAAACAGAAGTCAAAAGAAAATTGTAGTAAAAACCTTCAAGTTTGAGTCTTGGGGACGACATCATTTCAGAGTATTAAAGAATGAAAACATAGAGTGATTTCTCTTCCAATTCAATTCTCATTACTCAAGTGGAGCAAAACGAAACAGCTTTTCTCTATAGTCAGTCATTGGATGGGATACTAACCTTAGGTGTCGGTTTTTGCTTATTTTCACCCTGCTTGTTTTTGTTTGGAGAGTAGACATGAACATGAGCCTATGACCCATTTCTTTTTCAATGGGATGGGCCACTTCTTGAACAGTTGTTAGTAATCACTTGCTCCCCTCAGCTGATGGGGAGACACTTGAAGGCTAGATAAAAAGGAATCACCAACTCAGACAGCCCTCTGTCAGAAAAAGTTGTGTGTCTTTCATGAGGATGCTATTTTGCATGTTGCTGTATTTTTTAATTATTGTAATGAGGTGTGATTGTCTATTGGTTACCCACAATTCTTCTTGGGGACTCTCCCCCCGGTAACTCTTGTCAACACTTGTTAATTTGACAAAAGGCTACAAATTAAGCTCTGTTAATTTAATGTTTTCTCACCAAGATCTAAATACCGAAAGAGGCCCAAAGCGCAACTGAAGTCCTTTGATTCACTGTACTTTATTTTGGTATAAATTTACATTCATTATTGTTTTCCTTTGGATGTGTAGCCCTCAATTAGTGTGATGATTCCATTAAAGCAAGCGAGACTTCGCCTTTAATTATTACAACAAAACACCTAGTTTCAGCTTGGGGAGAGGGTCTCTATTGACATAAGCAGAGGTTATAAAATTTAATTAGCCATTCCTATCAGATTTATGGCATTCAAATTGTTCTGTGTTTCTTCCCTTTGATCCTTCCTGTACAATCCCCAAGATTTTTGTTCTGATCAAATGAGAATAAGGCTTACTGTGTAGAGCGACCTTTCCCCTTTCCTCCTCCTCTTCCCTTCCCCCACCCATGTTTCCACTTGCTCACGTTTTACCCCCTTCTTTGTAGGCAAGGTCAGCCCGTGTATCCCATCACGACAGGAGGATTCAGACACCCCTACCCGACAGCTCTGACCGTCAACGCTTCCATGTCCAGGTGAGTTCCAAGAACTGGAGCCTTCTGGGAAAGTTCTCTAGACATCCGTAAGGCCACAGGGCTTGCAACTTCTGGTGGTGTCAGTGGGGTAACATTAGACGGGACCCCTAGAATGTGCTGACACATTGCCCTGGGATTCCAAGGTAGGTGATGGGATGTCTTTTTAGGTCAAATCATTGAGCCAGTTTAATTGAGCAATTTATATATATTGTTTAAGGAGGCAGGGGGAAAAAGGCACGAAGAGCTATTTTTAGTGTCTTTTCTCTGTTCTATTCTGCCTAAGAAGAGTTTGCGGAAAGCATATTCATCTTTTCAAAGCTTAGACTCTTCATATACAATGTGAAAGGGCCCTCCCTCCACCCTCCACAAGAAGGATTCATATAAGTTAACCACATACAGAATGCTAAATTTCTAGCTGTTGTTGTTAAGTACCATGGAGCTGGTTATGACTCATAGCGACCCTGTATAGGGTTTCTGAGGTATCGCTGATGGCTTTGAACTGAAAGCCTTACATTAGCATTCCAGTGCTGAGCCTACAGTGCCACACCAGGACTAATTAGCTACATTTCAAAAACAAAAAAGGAAACAAGTGAAGTTATTTTAAAAAATTATGACTATAGCAAAATTTAACCATTCAGATGAAGTTATCTCTAAGAATGTATTTTATTTAACCCAGTATACCAGTATATACAGTTCAACACAAACTGTTAAAAAAGGAAAATTTTTGAATGAGGTTTTACATGCTTTTTTCTTTTGGTATTTACATTTATTTTTTAAAAATGTTTTATTATGAATTGAATGAAACAGACTACCAGTTTTATATTCAACAAATCATACATACACTTCATTTCATTTCAATGATTACAGTCCACATAACATCACATAACCCGCTTCCTCCCTGTGTCTCCTTGGTACTTGGTTTTTGAAAACAAGTGTAGGTTTTACACTTGGAGCACATCTCTACTTGAGCTAGTGTTTGAGCATCACATATGGCTGGTGACTACCATAGTTGGTCTATGTAGTTTTGTTTTTGTTTTTTGTTTTTTTTAAATTAAATCCTTTAAAAATTAAGCCATCTTTTTTTTTTTCCAGCTGAAATTAATTTTAATAATATATTTCACTTACCCCATTATATCCAGTGTTGTTGTTGTTAAGTGCCATCAAGTCAATTCCGACCCAGAGCAGCCCTGTATAGGGTTTCCGAGGAGCAGCTGGTGAGTTTGAACCGCCGACCTTGCAGTTCAAATGACTTTGCAGTCTGACACATTAACCCACAGCACCATATCAGGACTCCACTATATCCAGTATATCCTAAATATTATTTCAACATGTAACTAATATTTTTAAAAATATTAATGAGCTAGTTACATCCTTTTTATTTTCTTAATACGTTTTTGAAGTCTGGTGTTTATTTTGCAAAGACGACACAGCTCAATTCAGACTAGCCATCTTTCAAGTGCTCAGTGACCACCATGATGAAAAGAGGAGTGGGAAACCTTTGGCCTGGGAGTCTACCCCAATGAGGGTGAATCCTACCTCTTTCACTGCTCTAGCCTCTGTGAACTTGGGCAAGTTATTTAGTCTCGCTGAGCCTCAATGTTCTTACCTGTAAAATGTCCGTGGTATTTATTACATGCAGTACCATGCTCTGATATTCTATATGTGACACTGTTATTGCTAGTTAGGTACCATCAAGTCTCATTTCGACTCATAATGATAAAACTATCTTTTCTTGGTAAAAAAATAAACAAGTACATATACTGTTTTTGTTGCTAAGTGTCGTGGAGTCAGTTCCAACTTTCCGAAGAGCAACTGGTAGGTTTGAACAGCTGACCTTGTGGTTAGCAGTCAAGTGCTTATCCTACAGCGCCACACCAGGACTCCTGTATATTCGTGTGTGTGTGTGTGTGTGTGGATACCTGCTTCTTTCTAATCCCTGTATTCTCCATTTTCTATCTCTGATGAATTCTGGCTAATTTTTCAGGGACTGCTAGTTTATTTACAAACTGGTTGGCAGCAGTATGTGTAAGTAGTCACTAATTGCTCTTAATGATAGTTTTATCTTCTGTTCATCTGATTTTAAGTCAAGTTAATTAAATCGGTGGAGGTTTAGACTTTCCTGATGGGCTGAAGCAACTAATCCATTTTGATGATGGCCCATAATTAAGTTAGCATGCATTACATGGCAAAGTTGCTGTCCCCGACCTCCTCCCCCAATCCATGTGGCCAGTATGAGAAGCCCAAGCCTGGAGAGACGGGTGTGGGTGGGGAAGACAGACTACAGTGGAGCTTGTCTTCCTGACAAAGAGTGGCTTTGATGAGAGGACAGAATGCGAATCCTGTTCGTTAATAAAAAACAAACTTAACATGTATGCTATTTGCAGTTGTTTTATCTTTATTGTATAATCTTAACTGTGCATTTCACATCTACAAATCAAAACTCACACCAGAATAGGTTAGGTGGGAGGAAAAGCTGGTGTGTAAAAGAGGAGGGTTACATTCATGAAGTGATGTCACCACAACCCCGTAACGCCTGGAAATGAAGAGGGAGTCCCCCTCAGGAGGCGAGCAAAGGCCGAGTGGCTCAAAGCCACAGCACACACATCCTCTCTCCTCCCAGCATCTGTCTACCGTACCTGCTTATTGTGTGTGTTTGTTGGTTTGGTGGATTCCAGAGGTTAAACGCAGTGAAGTCATCACAGGATAGGGGTTGGGGTTAAGCTTATCGATTGAATTATCATTAGGAGGTGAGTCAAGGATTTGTAGGTGGGCAGGGGGGCCAAGAAGAGAGAGAAAGGAATGGTGGGAGGAAAGGTGAGGGGCAGGGGGAGACAGCCGATTCCCCAGGTAGGCCTTATGAAAGGTAGCTAGTTAAAAAGCGTATACAGCAAATTAAATACATTATTGTGGTAATGGGGCGACAGAAGTATAGGACTATTATACTTATGGTAGTTATGGGAAATGTAGGCAGCTTGCCCTGCTCCAGAACACCCTTTGATATTCATTCTATTCAGCAGCGGGGCCAGGACGTCTCAGAATTAAGTGATGGGTCATTATACTTTAAACACCATGGAGAAGCCTAGATTGGCAATTAAACAGCTCTCGCTGACACTCACTTGTGCCACCCTGTGACCCCCTTTAGATTGAGATGTTGGAGCTCCGGGCCCTCAGCCTGCTAAATTGGTGCAAGACTCTTCTCTTGACGAGAGCAGGTTCTGAAATCTGCCGGCTTCAAAGGGAGCGAGATCATGTATAAACCATAATGTGGGTGCACCGTGACTCACAAAAAATAAGGCAGGAAGAGATGAAATGTTACGAGTGCAAGGGGGAAAATGAGAGAATCATGACAAATCTCATGCAACTCAGAGCAGTATTGTTGCACTGGAAAATGCATCCTGCTGCTTGTGCAGAAAATCAAGGCCGGCAGATGTCATCCAGTTAACAGAAACATGTCAACAGTGAGGCAAAGTAAGAGTGAGTAAGCGAGGAGCCCCCGAGACAGCCAGAAACAAAAATTAGTTGTCCTTAACAAGTAAAGGCTCATCATTATATTCTGGCTTGAAGCCATAAAAGCAGATGGGGGGGATGTAATGAGCTGCTTAGAATTTTTAGGGTGTTTATTGCATTGCGTGAAATATTGTCTGCAGAAAGAAAGTTCATAGCGAAGATGTGCATCCTACCCATACCCACCCACACAGTCCACTTCCCTGCCGCTGTATGTGTTCCAGGTGGACACCTACCAGTGTAGGCATGTAAAATTAGAAGTGTTGGGTCTGGGTTGTTGCACTTGGACATTGTCCCCACTCCGAAAGGTACTCCAGCAGTGGGGTCTCCTGGGGTATTTGGCGCATGCTCGCTGGCACACATACGCACATTGCTTTTCTCTCTCTCTCTCTCTCTCTTCACTCTCCCCATCCGTCTATACACAGATTCTCATTCTACAGGAAGGAAACATATGTATTTGAGGAGTATGAAGCCTTTAAAATTCACAGTAATAGCTGCCACTTCACCCAAGGGCTCCGCCGAACACGTGTTAACTTACACTTCTCCTGGGCCTTAGAGCAAAGGGAATGAACAGGGGTAACCCAATACTTACGTAGGGCGTTCTCTTGGGTTTTTTTTATGGTGGCAGGAGTGAGATGGCAGTTGTTTTATTTGTTTTGTCTTTCTACCCCTTTTTGGATACCCTAAATCCTGGTGTGGCGCTGTAGGGTGAGTAATAAATGGCTAACCACAAGATCAGTAGTTCAAAACCACCAAGCTGCTCCTCAGAAACCCTGCACAGGGTTTCAGAACTGACTCGATAGCAGTCAACAACAACAAATGGACTTGCCTGATTCTTCTTTTTAAACAGCATGCTATTACTACTAAACTTTGAACGTTGGCTTTCACATTTTTGATTGTTACTAAAAGATTTAAAAAAAAAAAAAATGTTGATATAACCAAATTACTAACACCATACCGAAAAAAGATTTCTTAGCAACCAGATGGGATGTTCAAACATCAACTTTCATGTTAAAGGCAAAGAAAGACAAGAGAGGACCCCACTGAGATGTAATTTCCAAGTCAAGTATCCGGGGTCACTGTGCCCCCCTCAAAACTTCTGCCTTCTTCATTCATAATGTTTGCTGTCTATCTATCTGTGTAGATTTCATTAGTACTGTACTTTTCACCAGTGTCTAAATTCATACTTGGTACATTTTTTTTTTTTAATGGAGAAGGACATCATCATGCTTGGTAAAGTAGAGGGTTAGCGAGAAGAGGGAGACCCCCAATGAGATAGATTTGACATAGTGAGATTCAGTTGCAGCAGCAGTGGTTCTAACAGCAACAATTAAGTTGGCACAGGACCGGGCAGTGTTTTGTTGTGTTGTGCACTGGGTTGTTGTGCTTCGGAACTGACTCGATAGCACCTAACAACAACAACAACAACAACAACAACACTGTCATCGCCAGTCCATCTATGAACAGTGTCTTGTAAAAAAATACAAGATCCCTTAGAAAAACAACTGTTGTTCTAAAACTCTCACTAGTATTTCCATTGCCCGAACAAGAGCCGGCTGGCTCAGTTACCAGTAAAACTCCTCCGGATTGGTTCTCTGAAGAGCAAGTGGTCATTCCTAGGAAGGTGTGTTGGGTTGGCTTGGGTTGAGGCTTGGTAAGAAAGCATTGGCAGGTGCTACGGTTTGGATTTCCCTTACCGCCGCAGCTGCCCAATCTGCTCACTGGCCTGACCTTGCCAGGACGCTGCCATTTTCTTTTCTCTTAGGATTCTCCCTTCACCCTATTTGTCACCACAGAAATACTTAAAAGTTAGTTTTTAAGAGGGATGGTTCTTCTAACCCATGATGACTCAGTGTAAAAGCTGTTTGTTGGACCCAATTATCAGTTTGCAGATGGGTGGAGAAGAGAGTATTTTGAAATGAGCTGCTTATGTTCCGACTGATTTCCATGCCTGGGAAATGCCTCTTCAGGGCTGAAAATGGGATTCAAAGAATTGTCCTAAAAATGACCCACACTAGACTGAAAAACAAACTTTTTATTTTTTGGCTTACAATTTTCATAATTATTTAGAAGGTCTCTTAATGCGTAGACAGCATGTTCTTAAGCACAGATGATGCTGGAATCCTCAAATGGGTTGAGCTAGGGAATGATGGGAATTGGAATGTAAAGTTGCATTGTTTTGTATGCAGAAATACTGCTTTCTCCGCTACTTTTCCATAAGAGGATACACACTGTGAAAAATATCAGTGATTCATGAAGAGAACTAAAACGGAAATGTTGGGGTTCCCCCACACATTGTTCTGCCTACTCACCCATTTTTTCAAAGTGGTAGGATTTGACTACAGCCATCAAGAGAATGAGGTCTAACGAGGGATGGCCCAGCATTGCCCAAAATCTGTGTGTACTTGAGCCGCATTAATATTTTATTTCACTGTCAATATGTAACAAAAGATTTCTCCTTTCATTCTGGAGCTGATGAGGACTTAGAAAATGTCTCCTTAGATGCCACTAATAATGGCTTGAAAAGAAAGCGGACGTGCGATTTCTGGCAGGTAGTCTAAACCCACTTCTCCGCCCAAGTACATCAGTTGAATTTGTCTTTTGCTAAAGATGTTAAAAATTGTAATGTCTCATGTCAGTAGCAATAATGACGGAGAAGATTGGCTTTAATGACATTATGAGAATCATTATGTTTAATTTATTGCTAATTAATGCTGACAGGTTTCATATGCCTTGGGCTGCTTTCATGTGAGTGTTACATGCTGTGTTGTTGTTGTTTTTGTTCCTTGTTTTTTTAAATGATGTGTACACATCTCTCCCCATTCATTCATTTTTATTCTGACGATTTACACAGCTTCCTGTCTTCTAGGTTCCCACCCCATATGGTCCCACCACATCATACTCTACACACGACTGGCATTCCCCACCCGGCCATAGTCACGCCGACAGTCAAGCAGGAATCGTCCCAGAGCGACGTTGGCTCACTGCATAGCTCGTAAGTTGTGTAGCCCTTAGCACTTCCTGTCTGGTGAGCCCAAGAGAGCTGTTGTAGCTGGTGGGTTGATGGATCTCTGCCTGGGGTTGACCTGGCTTTGCTTCGAGTCCAGTCAACATCCAACCTTTGTGAGGCCTGGGATTCCGCACAAAGAGGGAGGGGGAGGAGATGGATCGTGACAATTGGACAGATTGCACCCACTGTGAGGTAGACCAGAACTCCCTTTTTTCTGTTCTTGACTAGATTGGGGTTTCAACTACTTCCCTCAGCCCTCACTCCATACTGAAATATGTGGTGGTGGTTTGGAAAGATTGAGAGATAACCTCTTGAGATGGAGAAGGTAGCCATGTGCTTTTGCCTCCGGCTTGGGAAAATTGTATATTTGTGAAACTTGAGGAAGTTGATTACGAGATCTCACTCTTCCTCCACCCCCTTCTCAGTCTATTTTTGTCCCATTTTCCAGGGTGGAGAAGACCAAAAGTGGAAGTGGGCTTTTTATTCAAAATTGCTAGGTTTGGGTGTGAGGAGCCAGAAGAGGGCTTTATGCTGGGGAGAAAGCCAGACCACGTGACTCTTGACAGGGTTGTGTCTGTCTGTTGTGTCTCTATGCAGAAAGCATCAGGACTCCAAAAAGGAAGAAGAAAAGAAGAAGCCCCACATAAAGAAACCTCTTAACGCATTCATGTTGTATATGAAGGAAATGAGAGCAAAGGTCGTAGCCGAGTGCACGTTGAAAGAAAGTGCAGCCATTAACCAGATCCTCGGGCGGCGGGTAGGCTTGCTGTGGTGGGAAAAGGGGGAAGATGGGCGAGGACACATCTCCCTCTTGTGGGGTGGAAGACGCCCCTGTCCTCACTTACCCTGAGAATTCTTTGAGCCCCATTCTGACTCCTTTGATGGTCTTTCTTGAGTCAGATTGGCAATTCCACTCTCCCAACAGATATTACCAGAATCTCCTCTTCTGTCCCTAGAGAGAGCAGTTGGTGAGACATTCTGACAGTATAATTGAAAAGTCTAGTTTGGGTCCCCACACTCCTGTTATTTCCCTAATCAAAAGATCAAGAAGCAGACACTGTCAATTCTGACTCCTAGCGACTCTGGGTGCATCAGAGTAGCTCCCTGCCCCATAGACTTTTCATGGTTGTGACCTCTGGAAGCAGACCGCCAAGTCTTTCAAACCATGGCCTTAATCCGCATATGATAGCGTTTCTGAATGGATTTGCCCAAGACTGTTCCTCACAGCCTGGCCCTTGTGTGTTTGTGACATTTTTGCATGCCTCTCTTCTCCCTGCACTCCTCTAGTGGCATGCACTGTCCAGAGAAGAACAAGCAAAGTACTACGAGCTAGCTCGGAAGGAACGACAACTGCATATGCAGCTCTACCCTGGCTGGTCTGCGCGAGATAACTATGTAAGTAGGCCCCTTTTCTGGGGACCAGTCTGTGTGGATGTATTGTGTGCCACAGGGACACAAATGGTAACCGCCAAAGGGCATCAGACCCCCGAGCCATGTGGCCTGTTCAAGCTCTGGCTTGGAGGTGTTTTCGGCTCCATTCCATACCTCCATCATTCTTCTGAGAGGTCACAAGAAGTGGATGTTACGGTTCCAGGGCCAGGGCCCTTTGGAGCTGCTTGTCTACATCTTTAGTGCTGTGGCTTCAGGATTTGCCAAGCCGAACTCTTAGGCACCAGCCTAGCTTCCTGTGTATGTGCTCTGTAGTGGTGGGTTGGCCTTACAGGGAAAGACCAGTGAGGAGTGCAGGAAGGAAGGGGAATGAGTTTGTTTCCTCAGAGTTCGTCTAGCAGAGCCTTTATCCTTCAGAGCGAAAGCCAATACAAGCACCTTATCCCATGGTGCAGTAGACATAGGAAGCTTGTTTCATCCTCACAGGGCATGATGGGAATATCCCTGAAAGGAACCAGTGGAAGTCATCCTTGGGCAGAATGGACTGAATACCTGGGCTAGGTGTGTGCTAGATGATGTGTGTGTTCTGTGAGTTCGGTGTTGGCTCCAGCAGCTACCTACTTTTCTCTCCTGGTTTTCAGTCAACACAGGAGGATTAATTACTGTTTTTCTGCTAGCTCCGGTTGTGACACTTGAGCGTTGTCTTCTCCCATAGATAGACTCTTCTTTTTGATTTGGAGTCCTCTGTGGCTTGTCACACTTACCACTTGCTCTGCCTTTTGCCCAATAGCCCCAGTTCAGGGCTCTCTCTACTCTGTCAATGGGTGGAATGCCTGGCACTTTATGGCCTGACACTCGGGCTGAATAAGTGGTTTTACCACTTTGTCTTCATATCAGTGACAGTTTCCTTTCTCCTGCCGGTGACCTGGAGCCATGGGCTGATTTCTGTTGCCAGTCCACACTCTTCTCACCCAGCTTTCCGTCTTGACATCATCGGCACGACGCTCCCCGACGTGAGTTGGGAGCTATGAAACCATTAGTGATTGTGAACTCAGTGTGCACCCAGATCTTGTGGTGGTTCAGAGGGACGTCAGACAGACTTGTGTGTCTCACTGTCTCAGAACTCGCCATTCCCCAGAAGTCACAGCGCACCTGCATGGACTCTGCTTACTGTACTTACTGTGATGGCATCTTTAGTTCCCTTCCTTTGTATCCTCATACCTGGGTGCCCAGGTTGGCTAGTCAGCTCTGGTATGTAGGTGAGCATGGAGCATGGAGCACGGAACACAGAGGCTAGCAGATTTGACTCCTGTGTCCCTTTCACTGCCTCCTCCTAGGTCATACCACCCTCAGCGGCCAGCACTGGTCTCTAAACTGGACCCCTCCTGGGAGCTAAAACTAGAACCAGTGCTAACACCTCTCAAGTGGGGCATTGGCTCTGCCGAGAGTCCACATCTTAACTGCTTGGAACCATTTCCATTTGCTCCCAGCATGTGTGTAGTGGGGACACTGGCCTTCAGGCACTGTGAGGAAGAGTGTGAGAAAGTCTATGCTTTCCCATAGGTCTGCTGCTCGTCCCCACCTGGTGGACTTTCCCAGCAGCAGGCAGGCCCCACAACTTGTACACACCTAGCTATGCCATTTTCGTTGTATCTCCTCTTCTGGTTTCCAGCCCCAAGTTGAGGGAGCTCATCTCTAGCTTCTACCTGCTCCAGACCCAATCTTTGAATCATGTAGAATGGCGTCCCAGAGAGGAGTTGAACTACTCTAGAACTCTCGTCTCTCCAGCAGGTAGATTGGGTCGTAGTGTGACCTGATGTACAGCTGACGAGGGTGTGCAGTGCACAGCTCTAAGGCAAGCCATCCACCCCAGGGTCTCTGTGAATGGCGCCCCTGGAGTTGTGCAAGGTGTCATGTTCACAAAGATACAAGGCAGATGTTGTGTGATCGTTTCAAAAGAATGTTGTGCCCCGCCTGCCTGCTGCGAGAGTCACTGCCACGAAGTAATGCCCGAGGCTTTTTGTGTCATGCTTTCTAGGTTTCAGAAGGTCCATGAAGCAGTTGAAATGATGTTAGCTGAGTTTTACATTGGGAATGGTTTGGCATGATGTAGGAGCTCTTGATAACACTTGAAAGAAAGCTTAGAGGTAGATCTGGATTTAGGACTTAAAAAACCTATCTCTTGTCAAAGCCACTGCCTGATGCCTATTCTGATGACTCAGGCACATGGCTCTTCCCATCCCTCCCTCCACCTCTCTCTCTCGCCTTCTTTCCTTGTTCCTAGAAACAGTCTGAAGAGCAAGCATCAGAGACTTGAAGCTTTTGTGAATTTAATTATGGCAGGACCTTGTCAGTATTTCTTTGGAACTGCCTTGACAGGAGTTTCCAGAAATGACTTGATGATCTGTAAATTCTGAGAGGTTCTTCCAGAAGAAGTTTCCTGAGTCAATCTCATGATTCTTTATTGTCACCATTTTTCCAGCCAAATGGTGATGAGTCTTCATATTGCTAGCTCAGGAAAAATGAATTGAGTCAAACAGTCCCATTTGGATTGTTAAACTTGGCACATTCTAGAGCACAAAAACATTTTGATACCATAGTGATACCTAGACTTGAGTATTGTTTTAGGACATTATTATTACCCTTATTTTTTTCCCTAGCTCTTCTAGGTTAGATAGAGGATAGAAAACCTAGGTCATTTGCATATCTGCAGTGGCTTTGTTTTTTCCCTGTTGTTGTTGTGTGCCATAGAATCGGTTCTGACTCATAGCGACCCTGTATAGGGTTTCCGAGGCTGTAAATCTTTATGGGAGTAGAAAGCCTCATCTTTCTCCCGTGGAGCAGCTGGTAGTTTCGAACTGCAGTCCTTAAGGGTCGCAGCTCGATTCGTAACCACTACGCTATCAGAGCTCCTTTTGTTTTCCTTTACCTCCCGTATGTTAAGCCTTTTGCTACCTTTAAAGGGGTTATGTCGCTTTCCTTGAGATCAATCTCCCTCTTCACTAAGTCATGCTTATTAAATTTCAACTGGTCTCTTTCCTGATAGGACACAGCCCCTGTCCTCTGGAAACCTTTAGTCTAAACGATCATTTCCTCCATCATTAACATCTCAGTTATGTTTCCTACACTGTCGGCGTCCCAGGGGAAGAGGAGTTTTCAGCTGCCTTTCCCCAATACATTATAAGAGATTGAAAATGGGTGACCACTGTATTAAAGATTACTTAGAAGTATGGGCACCCCTTGTAGTTGAAACATTTCTGTGCCCCGTTGAAAGAATTTTGACTGCTAACTCCTTAAATATATGGAACGTTAACCCTCTAGCCGATTCCAAGACAGCCAGGTGTCAGGATGCTGCCTGCAGGGGGTGCACAGAGATGGGGAGCTAAAGACTTTGGGAATGTGTACCTCATTAGGAGGTACACTACTTCTTTTTAAAATTCTTAGTGCGACTAGGGGCATCATGGATGGAGTCAAGTGTGGTAGCGGTGGTGGGGTTGGCCCAGGATCGGACATTGTTTTGTTCTGCTGTGCATGGGGTCGCTATGAGTCGGTTCCGACTCGATGGCACCTGACAACAACAACAACACCAAGGAATATAAAATGATTCAAGTAGAAGTACTATTGAACTACAAGCCAAGATAAGTTTCCCAAGTGGCTCTGGCCCTGAGACGGAGAGACTAGAGGTGCCTCCCTGAAGTCACTGGTTCTTGGTTGCTTGGATGGAGCTAAAGCTCTGGTATCTCTGCTTCGTGGTTCTCCTGGCTGTTAGCTGTTGTTGGCCTCGAATTATGACAGTCCCATGTATAACAGAACCATTGTGACCCACAGGATTTTCACAGATTGGTTTTTAGATGGCGAGACCTTTATTTCTAGTTTATCTTAGTCTGGAAGCTCTCTGAAACCTGCTCAACATCATAGCAACCTGAAGCCTCCACTGAGGGATAGGTGGTGGGTGTGCCTAGGGTGCCTTGGCTGAAGATTGAACCCCGGGTCTTCTACATGGAAGACGAGGATTCTACCACTGAACCATGAATGCTTACAGGGTACAAGGAAATCTCAAGTGTTTGAGAGCTATCCTTGTCCTTTTGTCTTCTAGAGTTGATGTCAGCATACCTTGAATCTCTCTCAGCATCCATAGTCTTACTTTGATCATTCTGAAACAAATAGAAATGCAAAACTATTTCTTTCATTGATGACCCTAAGTCTCCTGGATGATGCTGTTAATAACCAGAAGATCAAGTTGGAGAATGTGAATGACCTTTACTTCTAAGAGTTTCTTAGTAGGGAAACATTGACTATACCGGCAGTATAGCCTAATGGAGTCCTGGTATGGCACTATAGAATAAGCACTTGATTACAATGTTGGTTTGAACTGCAAGGTCAGTGGTTCAAATCCATGGTGTAGTAGAAGTGGGTCGCAATGAGTTGGAACTGACAATGGCACTTAATAGCAACAACAACAGCCCAGTGGCACATGGCACCAGTGAGGGCAGTGGGACTGTAAGAGTTCACATCACAGTCCCTCTACTTGTTAGCTCTGTGTGTGGTCTCAGGAAAGTCGTGTAATCCCTCTGTGTCTCGGGCTCCTTATCTGCATAATTGGAATAGTGATAATATCTGTTGTGTAGGACTATAGAGTTAAAGCAATATATGTAAAACACAAATGATGGGGTTCAAAAAGTTTGTTGGGAAATGCTTTTCTCTTTTAATTCCATTTTTCCATAATCTTTTTTAAAGTATGTGTTCAATAAATACTGTTGTTATTAAGTACTGTTGAGTCAGTTCCAATTCACAGTCACCCTGTATAGGGTTTTCCGAGGCTGTAAATCTTTGCCGGTACAGAAAGCCTGATCTCTCTCCCACAGACCTACTGGTGGACTTGAACAGCTGACCTTGTGGTCCACAGTCCAGTGCTTATCCTACAGAGCTACCATGCCCTTCGATAAATGCTAGGGCTACAAAACTATATCTTTGATTCTTTTTGCATTGTGTTGGTTCTTTTTAGACACAGACTTGAACACATTCAAGCTCCCTCCTTCCCTGCCATCAAGAATAGTCTGTGGAACAAGAATCACAGAGTTATATCTTCACAGATCTGATTATGATGAGACCTTGATGGTATTTCTTTTGGAGTTTCTATTTGGTCATTATATTGTTGCTGTTGTTAAGTGCCAACGAGTCAGTTCCAACTCATAGCGACGCTGTATAGGCTTTCCTAGGAGTGGCTGATGAGCTTGAACCGTCAATCTTGCCATTCAAACTGACTTTGCAGTCCAACACATTAACCCACAGCATCACACCAGGACTCCCATTATGTTGTTGGGTACCATTGAATCAATTCTGACTTGTAGCAACTCTGCATGGTAAAATAAGACTGCTCCACAGGGTTTCCTTGGCTGTCATCTTTATAGAAACAGGTTTTCTAGATCTTTCTCCCACAGAACCTCTGAGCAGGTTTGGACTGCCAACCCTTCTCTTAGCAGTCCAGTCCTCGCCTCTGCACCACCAGGGCTCCTTGGTCATGCATAGCTGTTAGCGGTTATGATTTAGGAGCATTACCATCATGTTCTATAAGAGGGACGAATCGAAGCATCCGCCCCCTCTTTCAGGAATGTCCACCTAGTGATTCTGAAAGGAACTCGGATGATTTTGGGGTCTCTTTTTTCCTTTTGATCTGCCCATTTTTAAAAACCAAAACCCATGCTTCAGTGAAGCTCTGTAGGGGGCAAGGGTACCCTAAGCCTAGTAGCTATCAGTGTTTGCTTTTCCCAAGACCATGTAATCTAGTGGCCACTGGCTCTTGCGCTGCTCCCAGCCCCTCCTCCCTTATATCTTCCTCTCCCTTTTCTGAAATACCATGCTCCTGGGTCAGGACAGCTTCCAGGGTAGACAGACATCTTTTCTTTAACTCCTAGTGGCCCCTTGTCCTCTCGTAAGGAATTGGTAGCAGTCCAACAGCATTTGAATCCCAGGAGGTTAGCCAGCATAGGAGGACCTGGTGTGATTGAGAGAACACTATTTCTGTTTGCCTGCCCTGCCCTTCTCGGTGCCCTGGTCACTGTTTCATAAAGTAATACCCTATGTTTTGTCTGTTCTTTTAGGGGAAGAAGAAGAAGAGGAAAAGGGATAAACAGCCAGGAGAGACCAATGGTAAGTTGCGAGCATCCATCCGTAGGGAGGTAGGAACGGCACCTCAGGACCACTTTTATGCTAGGGTTCTATCTGAGGGAGGCATGAGAAATCCAAGGCCAGGACATTGTGGGGGAGCCTACCGTAGCCAGCCTTTTTGTTTATGCATTTTAATTAATTGCTTCATGACTGCCCTTTTAAAGCCAGTAACATTCATTGTTGCATGAAAAGCACATTGTAATTCTAGTGGAATGTGTTCTTAAATAATTTCATAGCCTGTAATGTAGGCTTGCCTAGGTTGGGATTTATAGTCTGCTTACTCTGTATGTGTCTGAGGAGGGCCAAGGAGGGGGCTAAGGGAGGAGTGTGTGTGTGTGTTTGATATTAACTGGGCTGTTCCTGAGTGTTCTACTGCATGCTTTTACAGTGGTAAATTGCACCCATTTTAAATTAAGGAGGTTTGTCATTCTGTAGAAGCAATTAGAAATACTGCATAGGCAATCTCAGAGAGGCTCAGACGTTTACAAACAAACCAACCAACCATTTTGAAGGCTTTGTATAATTTGTTCTTTTTTTTCAGAACACAGCGAATGTTTCCTAAATCCTTGCCTTTCACTTCCTCCGATTACAGGTGCTAATGTCATTTTGAGTCATTAAAATAGTTGATAAACTGTTTTTAAATTTTTCTTGCCATTCTAGTTTTATTAACATTTAAACACGTATGACATTTGAACATTCTTTAAATGACCATCTACCCGGTTTTGTATGTTTCAGTAGAACTTTTTTTTTTTTTCTTCAGTTGCTTTTGTTGTTGTTTTTTTGTTTTTTGTTTTTAATTTAATTTAACTTTTGTTTATTATTTTTCCCATAACAGTTGTTTAAGCAGTGACGGACAGTGATTTTAGAGTTGAACTAACTGTGCAAATTGAATATGCAGTATTTCTTTAAAAGAGACTGGTTTAGAAAAAAAAAAAAAAGACAAAAAGAAAATGGAAGGAATTCATTAATAAACCTCCTTAATCTAATGGCATTTTTCATCGCTCCCACTAAGTTTTCTCGTGCAAGCATGCATCTGCAGTATTATTATTTATTTTTTTTTGCCTTTGCTTTTTTTATTTTTATTTTTTTCTTCCTTTTGCTTTTCTGCTCATAATTTGCAATCCACTAGCATTTACTAACTGCTTGCTTACAAGCTGCTCTGAGCTTTCAACTAACTGTAACAGCTCATTCTCACACCTGTTTATACCTTTATCTGTTCCTCTCTTAATATTAATGAAAATAAGTAAACAGGGAAAGAAATGATGAACATTCCAAAAGCTGCAATATCCCAACACCACAGCCCTTTTCTTTCTTTGTTTCTTTCTGTTTTGTTTCATTTTGTTTTTATTTGTAGTTGGTTTTTGTTTTGTTTTGTTTTTTCCCCTTTAAACTGTTACACTCTGAGAAGAAAAAAGCATGTTACAAACTTAATTCCCTCCTGCGCTTTATTTTCTTCTTTAAGAAAAAAAAAAAAAAAATTGGGGATGGGGAATAAAAGGAAAGCAAAACCAAAAAAAAGAGGAAAACTGTTATTTGAGAGAGTTAGTTTTTCAGTATCTAACCTCCCTTAAACCGAACCTCTACGACAGTCCTTAAAGAAGGGATACTGCAGCTTTATTTGCAACAGCTAATTTCACAAGTTGAATAAGAATGTGATTTTCTCCATTTTTTTTTTTTTAATTAAAAAAGAAAGTTTTTTGGTTTTTTTCTTTCTTTTCTTTTTTTTTTTAAGAATCGAAAGTCAATATTTTGCCATTAGTAACCAGGTCATTGATTTATTCCCTTTTTTATTTTTATTTTTTTCTTATTTGTATCTTTCTCTTTTCCCCTCCCTCTCTCCCACCCCTTCTCTCCTCTTCTTTTTGTCTCTCTCACTTTCTCCCTCTCTCCCACTTCCTTCTCCTCTGCTCGCTTCTCTTTTGAACTCATTCAGACCTGAGCGCTCCTAAGAAATGCCGAGCGCGCTTTGGCCTTGATCAACAGAATAACTGGTGCGGCCCTTGCAGGTGTGTATAGATCCCAGATCCGCTGTGCTGGTTTGCAGCTGGTTTATTCGGTCCTTTCCCCTTCTCTGCCCTGTTGCTTTGTAGCTGTGTGTGGATCATAGGAGACACGAGGGAGCGGGGCACTGCCAAATGTGCTGGGCTCTGTCTGTGAGGGATACGTTTGTTCTCCCAGCTGCTGCTAGCCAAAATGCCACTGTAAAACAGCCTCGCTCCTACCTCCTCGGGTCAGCGACAGCAAACCCTAGCGCGCCCCCCTCCCAGGGAATGTTGCCTGCCAACCCCCTTCCTCAGGACAGCCAAAGGATGGGGCCTCAGTGACGTCCACCGTAAGCCTGGCCTAGGTAGAAGCAAAGAACGTCACCTCCCCCTCTCCCTTTCTCTCTCTTTTGATTTGTTTTTCATTGTTGTTTTTTGGTTATCATTTTCCTTTTGTGTTTTATTGTTTTGTTTATTTATTTTTTTCTTTTGACTCATAGAAGCCCTTTCCTTTCATGTACTTGGTAAGGGAAGAGAAATCAAATGAAACCAAGGTGATGTAGCAGAACAGTAAGCAGTAGCTAAGAGATGATTTCTCACTGAGCTCCACCCACCATTGTGTTGTATTTTTTGTGTTTACCCTATGCTAACAGATGCAAATACTCCAAAGAAGTGTCGGGCACTGTTCGGGCTTGACCGACAGACTTTATGGTGCAAACCGTGCAGGTATATTACCACTGTTAGGCCTTTGGGAAAATCAAAGCATTCTGTCCTTCTGGTACCTCAGGGTGACTTTGTCCCCATCTACTTCCCCATTGGCATCAATGACGTTATAATAACCCTCATTCTTCAAAATTTCCTTGCTAATTTTATGCCATTTCCTCTCTCTACTTTTCTCTTTCTGGACCCCTCCCTGCTTTTAACAAATAACATGCCCCTCGTGGTAGAGCTGAGGGACCCAACTTTAACCAACAAAGCCAGGGCATTTCTCCTTTTGCTTTGAAAGCCGGAGTCCTGGTGTTGGCCGGGACCCTGCAAATGCTGTTTTGGCATATATCCTGAACAGAGAAAAACACCACCAAAGGTTACATGGGTGAACACTTGGCAGCGATGGCATTCCCAAGCCCTTGGAGTCTGATCGCTCAGAGACATGCTCTGGGGCAGCCGTATTTCTTTGCTTTGTTTTTTTTTTCGGTTTTTGTGTTGTGTTTAAACACCTCCTGTCTGTGCACAGAGGAGCTTGGCTAGCTGACATTGTTTTACAGTGCTGAAAAGAGGCGTGGCATTGAATGGCATGTACCAGCTAAAGGGCTGTAAGCAGCGAGTCATGTAGCCACAGACCGCAGCATTGCTAGGCCTGCAGAATTTAACGCGTACATTTAAGCCTGTGCAGTCTTGGTACCAAAAGGAATCAGAAAAGCCCAGAAGAGTCCAAATTAAACAGCCATGTTCCACCTGCAGGTTTCCACCGAATTTGTAATCTCAGGGAAGGCTGTAGGCACTTCCTTCTTGGTGGAGGGGTGCCAACTACTTCTTGTCTCGTTTCCTTTCCTGTAATGACCCCCTTTGGTTAAATTTGTTGTTTCTTTGTTCTGATACAAGCAGTCTTTGAATTTGGAATATTATGATGGTAGGTATCTCAACACCCCAAACATGCCTCCTTGTTTGTAGTACCTCCCTCGTCACGTTTTCCTCTCCTCCATGCCTTTACCATGTGCTCCGTGTTTAGACTCTAGATAGATGTCCATCACACCATGTGCATGCCCACGAGTCTCCCGTGTCTCTTTCCCCTTCTCTGATGCTGGTACGAGAGAGCGGTAAAGCACCTCCATTAACAAGCTGACGTTTAGGGGAAGAGGACCCAGGCATCTTTATTGGGAGGGGTTCACCTAGAGGACTCTGGATCCAGGGGTGTCAATAGAAAGGTTGGGACCATCGATGAGCATAGCAGGAGTCTTACTGTGAGGTGGCAGTGTTAACAGAAGGGACAAATGCCCTTCCAGTCTAGTCAGGGGGTTTACTCTGATAGCACACTAGAGCTTCATCTTGAATTTGAAGCGAGATGTTGGGTATGGCGCTGTAAGATAAGCACTAGACTGAAAGGTTGGTTTGAGCCTCAAGGTCAGCGTTTTGAAGTCACCAGCTGCTCCTCAGAAACCCTATGCAGGGTGGCTATGAGTCGGAATCGACTCAGTGCCACTTGACAATAACAGCAACAAACAGGAACCAAGGAGAGCCCTGGTATGGCACCGTGGTATAAGCAATGGACTGCTAAACCGTAAGGTTCAAACCCACCAACTACTCTCCGAAACCCTATACAGGGTTGCTAGGAGTCAGAGCCGACTCGATGGCACTTGACAACAAGAAACCCAGAAAGAAGGCGCCTGGTGGTACAGTGGTTAAGCACTCAACTGCTAACTGAAAGGTCAGCGGTTCAAACCCACCAGCTGTTTTGCAAAACAAAGATGGGGTGGTGGACTTCCATGAAGATTTACAGCCTTGAAACCCTCTGTGGCAGTTCTGCTCTGCCCTAAATTATTATCTCTGTCAGCTGGTGTTAACTCCACAATCACTGAGTTAGCCAGGGAAGACAGGAATCCCACTGACCTTATCTGGGCATGTGAGTTTAATATGTTCAGAGTCCTGTTTGGAGAGACCCAGCCATGGTGAGTGATCACTGTCCTCGTGGAAAGAGAGTGTTCTCCTGAGTTACAGACGTGGGCCACATTGTGTGCACAGTGAGACTGCTCTGGTGCTGCTTCGTTTACATTAATCCTGGGGGTGTAGCTAGTTCCGGAATCCCTTTTTTGTTTCAGAAGCGATTGCTGCCGTTCAACGTGATTTTCCCACCCCTCCCTGACCCCTTTGTAGTGTTGACTGAGACACAGCCCTAAGACACAGTTCACACCTAGTTTAAAGCCAGGGTGTGTTATCTTCCTTCAGACAGCAATGTTTTGTTGTCAGTAAACCAATAAAACAAAACAAAAAGGCACCTTTGTAGCTGCGGCTTCATGATTTAGCAGCATAACTTTCTAACGTACGGATTTGGGGACCAGCTATGCATGGCAGTGTTTTGGGGGTTACAGATGCTGAGAGGCCTGGAGTCCAGCAGATCCTCATTGGGTTTCTTTCTAGCATCAGCAGCATTAGAACTTTCCCAGCGGCCATTCTGTTGGACACATTTTTCATAACCCGTAAGAAACGTTGTTTCTTGTTTGAAGGTCCATGTAGAAGGGAGTTCTCGTGACTTGTAGAACTTGTACAACAGACGCTATTGTGCACACTCTGAAAGGTGTTATTCCAGAACAGGATCAGGAAGACCCCCTAATTTAATAATAAATGTGTAGATACAGAATAAATACTATAGGGCTAGACAGAGATTTTTAAGACGCCACCCCTCAGATCGGAGATGGAGCCAGGTTTGGGGGCCGGGGTGCTACAAATCCAGGTTACCTGCCCAGTCATTCTTCAACATATCCATTCAATTTTGCCATGTGTGGCTCGATGCTAAACCAATAGGACAAAATACACTATAAAACAGAAAAGCAGTTGCAAAATGAAGCATTTTCTGATTGATCGGAAATGTGTTTGTGTTCCAACTGGCTTTGCTCGGCCACTCATTGGCAGCACCATTGTTTTGTCATCCAAGCCATGTTGCCAGTGCCCTCCCCATCCCTGTGATATGGAAACGTCTAGGTCTTAAGGAAGGTGGGCGGGGTAAAGACAGCACTAGACCCGCTCCCAGCCAATCAGGGCTCCTAGCTTGCTACACAGGGTTTCTCATGTATTTGACATTTGAGGACATTTTAACAAGATTCTGTTTTGAGCCCACCAAGTTGCTTTTCTCATCTTTCCACTCTGCCCTAATATAGCATGGAATGCTGCTTGATGTCATTCCTTGTTGTCCCTGATGTTTTTCCCCTTTCCCACTTTCTCCCTCTCCCTTTCCTTTCAGCTGTCTCATTTTTCCCCTGTTGCTTTCTCAATTTGGCTTATGTCTTCCCCACCCCCACCCCCACCCTCCATACCTCCTTCCGTCTCCCATTTTTAAATTGCATGGTCATCTTAGTCTTTGAGCATGTTTTGATCTGCAGGCTAAGGTGGCTTAAAACTTGGAGAGGACGTAATTATTTTCCTTGGATTCTGGGATGAAGCAGAACCCACAGTCTGTTTTATTCTATCCAGAGGAGCAAAAGGAGCCTCCCCAAATTGAGGATGAGAGGGGAGCTGTGGCATGACCTGCAATCCCCAGCCCAGAGTCCCTGTTGATCCAGAGGAGACACACAGACCCCGAGGGCATCACCCAATGGGTCTCAGCCTCTGGGAGGTAGAGGACAGCATGTATCCTTCCTCCCCTCCCCTTCTTCCCTACCTTCCGCCATCTTGCTGAGTCCACACCCACACAGGGAGGAGCATGATCAGAGGGCTCTTGAGACACACTCAATACCCCTTCCTTTCAAAGGCCAGTGACATTGTCCGACAGTGGTGGCCCTCAATCAGGCAGCATCTTGGTGGCTTTCTAGTGGCTAAAAGCCATCCAGTGCTTATGCACTTAATTTTAGATGGAGCGTTACCAGCCATGGTTTTGACTACATTGCTAGGGCTCCTAAGATCAGCAAATCCCCTCTATCTGTATTGCTTTCATACCGTTAGTGGGGTGGGTTGCCCCCTAGGATCCCAGTGGTATCCCCAACAGTAGTATCCCGGCAAACTGGGATTCATGGCAGGAGAAATTTTTGAAGTCCCTTGCTCAGTTTCATAGTGGATTTACCCAATCTCATCCTTTGATGATAAGCAACTAAGAAAGTCTTGAAAATTCTCATTTCTATTTCTTCCATCAGAGGGGAGTAGAGAAGCGGGAGACGCTATTTCATGTATAGGGAAACAGTTAGTCTTACTGGTTTAAAAACGAATCACGAGACCCAACACCTGCAAGGAAAAATCCGTGCTATGGTTCCCTGGCGGGTCTTCGTGGTTGTCACCTCCTGTGACGGGTTTGTGCTGCACCCAACTCCATCCTCGGCATACTGACAATACCCACAATGCCCAGGGCCCTGCTGAGGACCCTGTCCCCCGCCCCACCTCCATCCTCACCTTCTCTCCTGCCAACCTTCTCACTCTGGGGTTGGGGGATGGGAAACCCTAAATCTTTAAAAAAAATTTTTTTTAAAAATCAAGTTTAACTCTTACTTAATTTAATCCACAACCTGCAGGCCATACAACCAGTTATTCTTGTTCCTTTGGATCATTTCTGTTTTTCTTACTCTCCCCCTACCTTTTGTTGATCCTCTTCTATCCGATTTGGTGGTTTGGTTTTGTTTCTGGTTTTTTTGTTTGGTTTGGTTTTTTGTTTTTGTTTTTGTTTGTTTGGTTGGTTGCTTTTTGTTTTTAAGTTTATTTCATTTTAATTTTGTTTTCCCCCTCTCACCTGATTCTGACCTCTCTTGATTTGGTGTGGTTCTTAACAGACAAGCCCGAGAGCTCTCTGAGCTGGGAGCCTCAAGGAGGAGTTGGTGGTGGTGGTGGTGTTAAACGTAAAGCCTCTTGCTAGCGCTGCCTTCAGCGACGAGGGCTCAACTGTCAACATTTTAAGAGTTTCGTATTCATATGAGGCTTTGGGGACGGAAACGCTGTCTTTCTCTTTTAAACACATACAGACACACACCCCTGAAGGGGTTTGGTGTAGCAATAGTGGGAAAGGGGCTTGGTGGAGTCGGGTGGGAAGGTTGCCAATTCTAAGCGATCATAGAAACCATGAGGCTTTTCAGTGACTCGCCATTTGGTCAAAGCCACTCCCTGGCTAGTAGGAGCCATGGTCCACAGGTCCTGTCCCCTGTGCCCACTTATGTTTGGGCCGGGGTGGGTCTGTGGGCATAGGTGGGGGTGGGGAGCACCCCAGTACATCTTTAATGTTCTCGGCCACCGGGTGTGCATCTGCCGGTGATGGTGGTTGGCTCTGAGCAGTAGATGATTGTTGTCTTTGCCCTGTGCTCACTGACAACTCTCTCCCCCTGTTTCTAGGAGAAAAAAAAAGTGCGTTCGCTACATACAAGGTGAAGGTAGCTGCCTCAGCCCACCCTCTTCAGATGGAAGCTTACTAGACTCGCCTCCTCCCTCCCCCAACCTGCTAGGCTCCCCTTCCCACGATGCCAAGTTGCAGACTGAGCAGACCCAACCTCTCTCGCTCTCCCTGAAGCCTGACCCCCTGGCCCACCTCTCCATGATGCCTCCACCGCCCGCCCTCCTCCTCGCCGAGACCACCCACGGCAAGGCTCCCACCCTGTGCCCCAACGGGGCCCTGGACCTGCCACCCGCTTCCTCTCTTGCACAACCGTCGACATCTTCCTTACATTCCCACAGTGTGCTGGCCGGGACCCAGCCCCAGCCACTCTCCCTCGTTACCAAGTCTTTAGAATAGCTTTAGCTTCGTGCGCTCCGGTTGGTTGGTTGGTTGGTTGGTTGGTTGGTTGGTTGGTTTCATGTTTTGTTGGCCTTTTCTTTCTTTCCGCCCCCTTTGAAAGGTTCTGTTTTGTACCCTTTAATTTTGTGCCATGTGGCTACATTAGTTGATGTTTATCGAGTTCATTGGTCAATATTTGACCCATTCTTATTTCAATTTCTCCTTTTAAATATGTAGATGAGAGAAGAACCTCATGATTCTACCAAAATTTTTATCAACAGCTGTTTAAAGTCTTTGTAGCGTTTAAAATATATATATATATACATAATTGTTATGTAGTTCCGATAGCTTAGTTTTAAAAAGACTGATTAAAAACAAAAAGGAAAAAAAAAGCAGCAATTTTGAAGCAGCCCTCCAGAAGGAGTTGGTTCTGTATTATTTGTATTAAATACGAGCTTGCGAACCAATCATTTTACATCTGGTTTTGAAACCACAGGGCACAATGAATGCAGTGCCATTACTCCTCCACCCCTACCCTCCCAGCCCCGTGTGAAACAACTTTTATTGTGATGTTACTTGTTATTGTTTAAATGTACAGAAACAAAGGGTTAAAATGTGTTAATATTACCTTGTTCCATGGTGTTGTTCTTTTGGGGGGAGGGGGATGCTACTCAACAATTAATGGAATCTCAACGCTGTTGGACCAGTAGTATTTATTGCTTTAGAGACTGCTTGTCGTACCTGTACCGTGTTCCTTTTTAAATATGTTTTCCTTTTTCTTGAAACTGTATAAAGTTTTTTTCCCCCCCTCCCCTTAGCATAAGCATCTTATATATGACGACTCATTTGTACAAGGTTTTTAAGTTTATATATAAAATGTGTATATATATATTTTTTTGTTTCCCTTTTTTTTTCTTTGCTGTATGAAACCCAGATGCCGCCAAATGGACATTCATAATTGCATTAAAGGATCAGTAGCATTAACAAAAGTTGCTTTAAAAGCCATTATGTATAATAAGACTTGAAAATCAGTGAGGGAATTTTAGCGACGCTGTCTGAGAAACAGTGGGACTGTCCTGGGTCCCCCTTCGAACTTGCAGTGGAACGCCCTGCGCCATTTGGAAATGGACTGACCGTGTGCAAAATGTTATGTGCCAAATTTCTCAGTGATGATAGCTTTCTCCCTCTTTTTGATGCTGTAATTTTTGTTCATCCTGTTTTGCTGTGATGTTACATAGGTAGATCTGTATGTAGTTTGAATGTCACCCTATAACAAGATGTGCTTGGTAGCCGATTGTCCGGAAAGCATTTTAAATGAAGAGGTATAAACCCTTAAGGGCCAAAATTCTGTATATTAGATTACTCTTAAAAGGAAAACAAGCTGCCGCTTCTATGTATACTTTCTACATACAAGTAGGTAGCGAACTTAAAAAAAAAAAAAAAAAAAGACAAAAAAAAAAAAAACCTAGGCATGTTGATGTTGCAAAATGCTGTATAAAGCTGAAACCTGTTCATTCAGTGCCATTGTAGTTGACATGAAGCGATTGTAAAACTGTCTCTGATTTTTCTCTGGTTTATTAAGATGCTAACTATAACATTTTTTTGTGAATACTTTGAATGTTTCCTAACAGTTGTGACGTTACTGTTCCGTTTTATGCTCTTATTCCAATTTCATTTTTAATGGTTTGAAAGCCATTTTTGTAATGAATAAATGTTCACGCTGTACAGTATCTATCTGTAGCATGCCATTCTGGATTAATAAAAGCAACTTAGTATGTGCAGATACAGGCTGGTCACGTGTGTCTCTGATTGGGGTTTTCTCTCTGGGGCAACTGGATTGACCCTCATCAAGAGAAAGGTATTCCCAAGCTGGATCCAGAGCCTGCGATTAGTGCCTGGATAAGTAGGTGGTGATGTGGAAAACAAAAACTGGTCTTAAACATTTGGGATGGATGGACCACCCCACTCCCCACCCTTTATGCCCATTTGGCATACTGGTACAACCAGCTTGTTATAATGGGACATTTGTACTGAAGAGTACAGACATAAAGGGGAACCCTTGGTGTGTGTCGTTCTGCATGTCATCCAACTATGTCATCACTAATAGATTCTTTCTCAAAGCAGAGCACACTTGGTGTTAGCTGTCAGGAAGTTGGCCCCTGACTCACGGTGACCCCAGTCACAATAGAATGAAACACTGCTTAGTCCTGTGTCTTCCTCACGATTGGAAGTCGAGGATTCCATGACTGAGCGCTCCTTGCCCCCCTCCTACAGCACAGTTTCAGAGCATGATGCAGTTACTCTGATGCAGCTTCTTCCTCCCTCTCACCATGTCAGCAGAAAGGCTAACTCTTGTTAATGAGACTTAAGGAACTTGGCCATCACCACCTAAAAGTCATTGATGTGAAAGTGTCTTCATTCCAAAGAGTTGCAGGCAGAGATGTAAGTGGATCGAACGGAACCCTACCCTCCAGTAGTGAGCAATTGTGCAAGAAGCCTTTGAGGGAATTTCAACAAGGGTGGGTGGTTGACTTACAGGTTTGTACTGAGGGGTCTTGCAGTCTGGAGAACCCGAGCTCTTTGACCCTGGCCTGACGCGAGTGTGTGTTCATCAACAGTGGTGGAGACTCTCTGAAGGTTTCCCTTTGATTTCATTTCTCCCACTGATTGGGATAGATGGGCCCAGATAGAACATTGTTCCACTTAGGATAACTACCTTAGCTTTTAGACTCATTGCACACCTTTCAAAGGACTTGATTTTAGTGAGGGTTGACACCGTTCGTGTTGACAATGTTGTTATTTTTAGCCTTGCCTTTTGGTCTTCAAGTAAAGCTCCTGAGAAACTGAGCTTCGCTCAAGCTAGCTCTGTTCTATAAAACATGGACATTTTGTTTTGCTTTGCTTTGCATCGCAGAGCTGTGGAGAGGAGGAGTGTTTCTGGCTGTCCTTTCCTAGTTCATTTTGTACACTGGGCCCAGAGTGACCTCAGGAAACACACGAAATCAAATTAAAGACAAACAGAACAGTATCTGTTCTTTGTGGTAGCGGGCCAAGCCATGTATGTGCATTTTCTCACTTATTCTTCACACCGCCTGAAGTAGATACTATTCTTCCCCACTACTCTCCTCTGCCTTTAAAAGATAGATTTGGAAACTTAAGAGTTGAAGTGTCTTTTCCATTTTATTTCCAGATTTGACTCTAAATCCATGCTCTTTTTAACACTCAAGTTGTATTGCTTTGCACTCGTGTAAAATGGCTCTCTCCCAAACAGAAGTGAGGGGACAGTCCTTTTAAAGGACTTTTGAAGCCACCTCCCCCTATGTCTCCCACACTCAGTCACATACCCACTTTCTTGTTCTTCAGCTTTCAAAGATGCAGTTCCACTCTGGAAGATTCTGTTCTGCTTCTAGGTCTCCGCACCCCTACCTCCCATCTTTCAGATCTCAGTGAGACATCACTGTCTGGGAAGGTGGTCCTGACCCCTCAAGGGTCAGTTATGGTTTCCTCCTAGGCATTCTTTCAGCACTCTCTCTGCCCTTTTTTTAACAACCCAGAGTGGCCGTGGATGTACATTACCCATAGGCCTCTTGATTATGGAATGTGAGGTTTTTTTG